GAAATGTGGATGGACCTAGAGTCTGTCATACAGAATGAAGTAAGTCAGAAAGAGAAAAAAAAATATTGTATATTAATGCATAAATGTGGAATCTAGAAAAAAATGGTCCAGATGAACCTATTTGTGGGGCAGGAATAAAGACACAGACATAGAGAATGAACACGTGGATACAATGGGTGAAGAGGAGGTGGGACGAATTGGAAGATTAGGATCGACATATATATACTTCTGTGTGTTAAATGGATAGATAATGGGATCTACTGTATAGTACCAGGAGCTCAACTAGGTGCTCTGTGATGACCTATAGGGATGGGATAGACGAGGTGTTGGAGAGAGGTCCAAGAGGGAAGGGATATATGTATATATGTAGCTTATTCAATCCATCGTACCACAGAATCTAACACAACATTGTAGAGAAATCATACTCCAATTTTTAAAAAAGAGTGAAGTCTAATGTAAACTACAGTGATAACAGAGTGTCAGCGTAGATTCATCACTTGTATTAATTGTACCACTTTGGTGTGAAATGTTGATAGGATGTGCATGTGGAGAAGATAGGAAGTATATGGGAATGCTCTATACCTTCTGCTTCATTTTGTTGTTAACCTAAACTGCAATTGTGTTAGTTGCTCAGTTGTGTCTGACTCTTTGTGACCCCATGAACAGTAGCCTGCCAGGCTTCTCTATGCCTCGGGTTTCCTAGGCAAGAATAGTAGAGTGGGTTGCCATTTCCCTTCTCCAGGGGATCTTCCCAACCCAGGGATTGAACCTGGGTCTCCTGCCTTGCAGGCAGATTCTTTACCATCTGAACCACCAGGGAAGCCCCCAAAACTTCTCTAAATAGTAACATCTGGTTGTTGTGTTTTTTTTTTTTTAATTTACTTTTTGGAGGCTCTGGAGAGTGACCCAGAGACGGAAGACAGTGCAGGGATTTGTCCTTTGAAAGAAAACCACACTGCTTGAGAGCACTCTCAGTGTGTTCACCCCTGGGGGACAAAACTCAGACTCCAGGTGACTGTCTGATGGAACTGAGAAATCAGAGGTGGAGTCTGGGAATACCAAAGCAGCTGGATATTAAAAAGAAAAACAGTATAAAAGAGATCTACAGAGCAGGGAATCCAAAATCTACATGATAACTCCCCACAAATTATTGGTAGATATGGAATTGGGTATGCATTGATGAGATTTTCAAGACACCCCAATGAAAAACATCATCTGAGAAGCTGAAAAAGTTAACCAGAGACTTTTGCAGATGTCCACTGCCAGGGGGACGGGAAATTGGAGTTCTTATCCTGCTAAGTTAGATGAGATTGGTAAATAACCTCAGCCTGTCCATTGAATTCATATAAGGGCTATGCCTTAGGAATAAAGACAGCATCTAAGGATTAAGAAACCCACCCTAAGATTAATGGCAAAACTCTATAGGAGACCTGAACAAAACCTAAACCAGGCCTTCAATAGATAGATGATTCATTCATAATTTAGAACAAATAATAATGCTTTTAGAGGAAGGTAACAGGATCCAGAGCTTCTAAAATGTATCATCTATAGCGTTTGGACCACAGTTAAAAATAAAAAACACTGAAAACAAACAAAAAGTTTTCCATAAAGTAAAATCCAAGCACACATATTTTTACTAGTGAATTCTGTAAAACCTTTAAGAAAGAAATAAGATCAGTATTACACAAACTCTTCCAAACAGAGAAAGAGGGATCACTCTCCACTGTTTTGGAGATATTCATGTTGTGATGTACACTTGTATTTCAATCTTTATCATCCTCTTATATGAATATATAATGATTTAAAGCTGTTATGAGCCCTGCCACATAAGTGTTTTGTGGACATAGGTTTTTAATTTGTATCAATAAATACCCAAGAGTGGAATTGCTAGGTTGTAAGGGAGGCCTGGCGTGCTGCAGTCCGTGGGGTTGCAAAGAGTTGGACACGCCTGGGCAACTGAAAAACAAGGTAGGTGTATGTCTAACGTCACAAACTGAAACTGACCGCTTGGCCATTGACCTCTTGTTGGTTTCTGCTCCTGCTGGAAACCCATGACACTTTTCTGGCCTTATTCTTCTTTTCTGTAACAGGAAAATTCAGACGATTTGATCTCTAAAAACCCTTCTGTTCTCAAATACCATAATTATGTGATTAAGCTATTTCCAGGTGTTCTAGTTTTTAATTAACTTTTTATTTGACAGTAATATCAAACTTGTAAAGTTGCAGAAATGAATGTAGTACAAGAATCCACATACCCTCCTTTTATCTAAATTTTGTTGTTGTTGACATTTATTACATTTGCTTTATCATTTGTGCCATCTGTATCTATATAGCTATATTTATTTACATGGACTTTTCCATACTACTTGAGGATAAATTATATGCACATCATGATCCTTTATCCCGAAGTACTTTAGTGTGTATTTCCTAGGAGGAGGGACATTTTCTTACATAAACACATTACAGTTATCAACTTGATAAGTTTATATTGATATAATATTTTAATCTAGTCTATTCTCCATATATAATGTCCTTTAAAGCATTTAACTTCCCTTCAATGCAGGATTCAGTCTAGGAGCAGGCACTGCATTTAATTACCATGTCTCTTCAATTTGGAACCTTCTTTAATTTGGACCATTTCCAGTCTTTGTTTTTTAAGACATTAACTTTTTTAAAAAATATTTTTTACTGGAGTACAGTTGCTTTACAATGTTGTGTTACTTCTGCTGTACAGAGAAGTGAATCAGTTCTATGTATACATGTATGTCCCCCCACTTTTTAAAATTTCCTTCCCATTTGGCACAGAGCATTGAGTAGAGTTCCCTGTGCTATATAGTAGGTTCTCATTAGTAATCTATTTTACACATAGTAGTGTATATATGTCAATCCCAATCTCCCAGTCCATTCCACCCCACTTCCCCCCTTGATATCTACAAGTATGTTCTCTACATTGTGCCTCTATTTCTGCTTTGTAAATAAATTCATTTGTACAATTTTTCTAGATTCCACATGTAAGCAATATTATATGGTATTTTTTTCTCTTTCTGACTTACTTCATTGTGTAAACAGTCTCTAGGTCCATTCATGTATGACATTAATATTTTTGAAGAATACAGTACCTCTTCATTTTTATTTTAATGGAAACTTCCTCATTTTATGTCTGCCTGATTAGGTTCAGATTATTCATTCTCATCTTAAGTACTACATGGGTAGATGAAGTTGAATTCCTTTGGGGGTATCACATGGCAGCTTCATTTTAACAGAAACAGAAGCTCTAATGTGAAGGGATGACATTTTTAGCATGATTTTCAGGATTTAGTGCTGGAGATATGATGCATTTTCGGCTGAATTTTCACTTGACCCTTTCATTCATTCACACAAGTATTAATTGAGTATCTACTATACACCAGACACTGTCCTAGTTGCTGAGAATACCATGGCAAACTAGAAAGGCACAATTTTCTCTCTTTGTTGAGTTTATGTTTTTATCAGAGCTTTAGACAAGGAAAAAATAAATACTGTAATGTGGATCTTGAGAGGGGAGTGAAAATACAAAGATGATGTGACCAGTGAACAGTGGTAGAGGCCATGGATTTGACGGGGCTAATTTAGTCATTTGAGCTGAGAACTGAATGAACAAAAGGAACCCAATACAGTGGACTTAAGGCGAGACAGGGAAAGGAGACATTTAGTATGAAATCAAGAAAACCTCTGAGGTCCATTTCCAAGGTCATTCTAGAACTTAATCTCACCATTCTCAGTATGATTTCCAAAATATCAACACAATTTCATTCTCTTCCATTCAATTTCATAACTTTTCCTGTCCTTCCATCTTACCTGTTCTAATGCCTCTGCTCTAACAATTTTTAAAGAATCACTGAGATTTTGGGGAAATTCGCTGGTGGCCCAGTGGTTGGGACTCTATGTTTTCACTACCAAGGGCCAGAGTTCAATCCCTGGTCAGGGAACTAAGATCCCACAAACCATGCATGGTGTGCCCCCTCAAAACAAAACAAACTAGCCAAAACAACCAAGAAACTAACCAATCCCCCCCTAGAAAACCCCACAAAGGAATCACTGAGATTTTCAATCTCAATGACCCTACGTTTTTTTTCATTTCCCACCACCCTCAGTTCTGCATTTCTGTCCTTAGGATTCTACAGCCATACATTCCTAAACTCCTTGACACTTCCTCTGTCGTAATTGTCAGGCAGGATTCCAGCCATGGAATTCAACCCCGGCTACCCACTTCATCCTCACCTGTACCTGAGCTGCTGATGGCTGTCTGCAAAGAACACATACTATTCTAAATTGTGTCCTATGAAATTCACGGCCATAAGTCTCACAGGCAGTCCACACCACCTACTGCCTCATTCTGCTCTCCTGTGTTTGCTCTCTCACTCTTTAAAAGACTATCTCACACCTGCCCCCTCTTCTCACTGTCCATATCAGTCTCTGCTGTAACCTCCACTACCACCTGGAGATATCGCCTCACATTTTCCATAGAAAAAAGGAACCAGTCCAGCAGGAACACATCATCTTTCCACAGCCATGCCTACAAAATAATCTGCACATGTAGCCTCACCTTTCCTTTCTGTTTCAGAAAGTCCATCTGCCTCTCTGCCATCCCCCGCTCACTATCTCCGATACTCCGGTTATGAAACAGTACCTTCTTTGTCTTGTAAACAGAAATTTTTCCTCTTCTGGAACATTCTTAACAGCCTTCTGATATATTCTAAAATCTTCCATCTTGAGAAACAGATGGGAGAAACTTTCTTCCATGACTCCATATTCCCATCTAGTTACTGTCTCAGATTTTTGGCTTCCTTCACACACAAACCTTTTAAAAGTTGTTCACGTTGGCATGTTCCCAGTCCCCACTTTCTGCACTCTCTCGCCTTTTCTAATGGGGTTTGGGCCTCAGTCCTCCTGAGACCACTCCTGCCAAGGTCACCTGTTACCTGCACAAAGTCCAGTGCAAGGGCCACGTTCCTGCTCACGTCTTCCTTGACCTTTCCGCGCGCTGACGGGCCCCTCTCTTCTCATGGCTGCTTGGGCGGCGTGATGGCGCCCTCTGGTTTTCCCACCTCGCTGACTCCTCCTCCCCACCTCCTTTGCTGGCGCGTCCCCCCTTGTTTCCCCCCTACTTCTGTGTCCTCAGGGCTCAGCCCTGGCCTCTCTCCTCTATTTTACTCTCCTCTCAAGTCATCCATTAACTCCCGTGACTCTCCCTTCACTCGTATCCCAATAGCCTTTCTTCTGCGCAGGAGAGTCTCTCACCCCAAGCACTAGATTTCTGATGCCAGTGTCAGAGTGGGTGGTAGATTTGCAGTGCACTCTTTTCCCCTTGACCACAGTCATTACTATCCTGACTGGTTAGCAAATTAAGATCTGACTTGAGACCAAAATATATATACACACACACACACACACACACACATATATATATGATTTGAGAAGATTTCTATGTATCACTAAAAATATTTCTTATGGTAAATTATTTTATGATTTCAGCATGAGAAAACTCATTTCATACCACACATAGCCAAATATACTGCAGTTTGTTTTAGTTTCAAGCCTCCTGGCTCTAAATTTAAAAGTGAGCTCAAGTCAACCAGAGTGCAGAATCTCTGTGTGTGGCCTGCCCTCCTTCTTTCCTTAATTTTGTAGTTGGAAACACCTTAAAAGGAAAAATAACTCCCCTTTGGGCAAAGTGAAGCAAAAATGTAAACCATTTCTTATGCTATCTCGAACGAATGTATGTTTCTTGTCATTACACTTCATGCTTAAGAGTAGGCTCTTGAGAGAAAAGGGAGGAAAGAAGTAGAAAAATATCAAAGCACATGCATAGTATCATAAAAATAGAAGAGAGGGCTGTGTGAGAACTTACTGAGAAAAAAGTAAACTGATCTATTTAGTTCTCATGCCAGATGAATTTTTAGCATCTCTAAGAATAAGTTGGTAAGAAGTTTTTTTAAAATGGGCTTTCTCCGTCAAGCTCCCCAGTCTCTGAAGAATTCAGGTTGCTACTAACTCTTTGTGTCTTTCGACAATTGGTCTAATCCTTAAATCAGTCCTTTTGTCTAGAGGACTTCTTCAGGGAAGTCTCCCTCATTGATTGCCCACAACTGCCACTCTGCCCTCCTGAGCAAAGGAGAAATTCTCCCCACTCCCCACCACATCTGCCCAAATGCCTAGAAAATACTCTGGAAATTCCCGCAGCAATGCGCTTACATAGAAACTACAAAGTTTAGAAGAGCTATCATTATGAATCACCACGAGATTGCTAGAGGACTCTGGGCAAAGAGCAGGGAAGGACTGCATTGTGGGAGTTACTACTGGGGAGAAGGGATTGATGCACCTTTTAAGAAGCTCTAGTTTTTATGCCATATTCTGTAGAATGTCTCCATTGTGCCTATTTCCCAGTTGCAGAGGTGGGTTTGGGGGTGAATAAAGGAGGAAGAGGGCTTTCTAAAGTAAGATCATGCAACATTGTCTCCAAACAACCGGTCACATCAGTTTATCATTTAGGTTTTGTATATTACAGACACAATCTGCAAGGTAATACCCTTTGAGTTCTATGTGAAGGCACATTAATACACTACATGAGAGTAAAAACTTCCCTCTGTTGCTTGCAAAGACTTTTGTAAAGAGGCAGGAGGCATAAAGAAAGAGGTCATTAAACAATGAAAGTCTAAGGGGCACTTGCAATAAATTCCTCTGGAGAGCAAATAGTGCCCAACCAGAAAACAGGGTAATGAGTGAGATGGAGAATGGGTAAAGCCATGCTGAAGTCAACAGCAGTGAAAAAAAAGAAGAAGAAAAAGAAGAAAGAGGTAAGGAGAAAAGTTAGCATGCACTGAACTCTTGATGAGCTCTGGTCATTGGGGGAAGGTGTCTAACAATCACTGAGACAATAAGACAAATGGCTGTGACTAAGAATGACAAGTACTGAAGTGTGGGAGTCTTACAAGAAAGGTGAAGCAAGTAAGCTGGAGTTCAGATCTCTTTTCTTTTAGCTCTTCTTTTTTCTCTGCACAACTTTATAATTTACATACCATCTGATTCACTTCAATGTACAGCAGAAGCTAACACAACATTGTAAAGCATTTACACTCCACTAAAAAAAAACTACTTGTTTAAAGTGTACAATCCAGCGATTTTTATAGAGTTGTGCAAACATTACCATAATCTAAGTTTACAACATTTTTATCATCCCCCAAAGAAACCCCAGTACCAGTTGGCAGTCACTCCTCCTCCTCCCAGCCGCTGGCAACCATTTGTCTACCTTTGATCCCCAGATTTGCCTATGTGGGGCATTTCATACAATATGCGGTCTTTTGTGGCTGGCTTTTTTCACCAAGTGTAACCTTTACATGTTGTGGCATGTATCAGTGGAATGAATCCCTTAATGATCAAATCATAGTCCATTGTGTGGATAAACCACTTCTTGTTTATCCTCTCATCAATTAATGGGCATTTGGGCTGTTTGCACTTTTTGGCTATTATGCAAGTTGAATATAGGTTTCCCGGTGGCTCAGCAGTAAAGAATCTGCCTGCAATATAATGCTGCTATGAACATTCAGCTACAAGTTTTTGTGTGAACAGATGTTTTCATTTCTTCTAGATAGATACCCAGGAATGAAAATGGCCAAGTCATGTGGCATCTCTGTTTAACATTTTGAGGAACTGCCTAACTGTTCTTCAAAGTGATTTCCCTATTTTACATTTCTACCGGCAAGGCATCAAAGTCCCAATTTCTTCACGTCCTCACCAATGCTTGCTATTGTCTGTCGTTGGATTGTAACCGTCCTATTGGATGTGAAATGACACTTCATTGTCACTTTGATTGGAATTTCTGTAATGACTAATGAAGCATCTTTTCATGTACCTATTAGCCGTTTTTCCTGTCTCTCTTGTCACACACATTCATTCATTCATTATCCATTCATTATGGGCAAATTCCATCCTCTCTTCTTTAAAGATCTAGCACAAAATCAGGGTAGACAGGACCTGCATCTAGAGGGAATTTTTTCATGCTGAGAGTCTCTCTCACAGAAAACCAAGGATGAATTGATTACTATTGATTCTGAACTATTAAAATGACTAATTTTAATTTAATTCAAGCTAATAGCCTTTAAGTGTTCAAGGTATTTATGCTTAAACTAGTGGAATATTATGGACTTACTCTCAGACTTGACATCTAATAGAGTATACAAGTCCATCAATAAGTATAAAATAAGAAAGAATTAGCTAAATATCATGAGAAAAGCATTAAAGTGCTATCTATGGGAGAATGGAAAGCCTTCAAAATGGGCTTACCATTTGACTCAGCAAACCACTACTAGAAATCTATCCCAAGGAAGTAAATACACATTTCTACAAAAACTTAGATACATGACTGTTTACCCAAATGTTATTTCTAATTGTGAAAAATCAAACAGTTCAATAGGTAGGTGAATAAATTGCCATACATCCATACAATAATTATGCATTCATTTAAAATGATTTTAAAATATATATATGAGAATATATATATATAATCCATTCAGAAAGTATGAGAAATCTCGAAGAGCCGGAAAACAAGCAAAAAAGGGAAATGAAAACCAGAGTGATAAACAGGTGAGTTTGTAGCAGGCCTGAGGAGAAAGGGTTGGAGTGGAGGCACTGTTAGTTTAGTGTTGTAGGAACATTCACATAGAGACCTGACTGCCCAATGTAAAGGCAGATGCCTTGAAGGACTGCAACCTCAAGAAGGTGGATTAAAGCAAAATCCCACTTAGCAGCATAAGTGACATGGAGCGCTCTCATTTTAGACAGTCTCTGGGTAGAAAAACTAAGTTTGTTTAAAAAATTTATAATCATGGACTTGTAATTCATATGGATTTGGGGTCCAAATTATACTGAGTTCTAGAGGAGTCCAAGATAGGAATTTTTTTTTTAATTTCTTAGAATCACCAGGTTCAGAAGCATTTTATGGTTATCCCATTGTTTGTAGTTATAGGTTCTCCTATTTTTTTGAATTGAGGTATAGTTGATATTATATAAGTTACAGGTGTACAATATAATGATTCATAATTTTTTTAAAGATTATGCTCCATTTAGAGTTATTATAGTATATTGGCTATATTTCCTGTGTTATAATGTCCTACTATTTTTTTTTTATCAGCATCTTTTATTTGACTAATTGCCTGGCAGTTTGTGTTTGTAAACACCCACCAGTATATCTGGAATTCTTTGTAGCACCTCTCAACTTTTTACTGGCTCCATCTATGCTTTCTGTTAGTATTTAAAAATGTTGCACCTTCTTCGAGTATCATAGCACATCCTGCTTTAACCATCATCATTTTTTAAAGGAGTTAGTGCATTTCATCCCTGACTTGTTATCGTTGTGACAAGACTACTACTACTCTTGGAATTTTCTGCTCTAGGTCTTTGCTAACGTGTACTTCTTCAGGAGAGTGTAACATATTTTAATAGAAACTCTTATTTTTATTTGAAGACTTGTCCGTTGCTTTAAAAACTCATTTGGCTGGATAGTCTTGTTTTTTGTTCTTTCAGATGATTTTACTTTTGAGTTGAAGTTCTAGTTTGGAGGTGATGTCCTCCACAATAGTAGTCCCCCAGGTGGCAGCAAGAGGAATGAGAAGCTGGAAAATGATGTCTTGTGAGTGTTTAAGGTCCTGGAGATGGTCCATCTGAAAAACCGAGAACCCAGACGTCCCTGGTGGCCCAAGGGTTTACACTCTGCACTCCCAATGCAGGGAGCCTGGATTCAATCCCTGGTCAGGCAACTAGATCCCACATGCCACAGCTAAGAGTCTGCATATGACAACTAAAGATTCCACATGCTGCAACTAAGACCCAGCACAGCCAAATAAATAAATTAAATTAAATTATTAAAAATATTTTAAAAGAACACAAAAATCTCTGAGAACCCAGGAAAGACAGAAAGGTAGTCCCCAAATATCAGAATAATAAGAGGGTGAATAATCAAGAAAGAAGTTCTAGCTTCACTGTGCAGAAGACAATGTTAATTAGAATCA